ACCCTCATCGCCACTAGGTAGGATCTAACATGTATCCTTACCTGTGTTCGAGCGGATTCGGTTCGGCTGGCCCTCCAACTGCTCTCTAGGCGTCTTTTCCGACGTTTTATCTCTCTCAGCTCCCCAGTAAACCAGGGGGCCAGTCGAGATCTACGTCGGGTCAGAGGCCGCAAAGGCACGACTCGGTCCAATGCAGCGGTGGCAGTTGTCTCCCAAGCCGCCGCCTGGTTTTCCGCCGAGTCGTGGACCAGATCCTCCGGATATGGCCCAAGCTCCGTCAGGAACCTTTCAGGGTCCATCAGTCGCCTGGGACGGTCCATCAGTCGCCTGGGATGGAACCATTGTTCTGATAGATGGTTTCATCTATCAGAACAATGACAATCGAGAGCACCCTGTCATATGGCATTACTGTCTGGTTTGGAAGCATCACAGCTTCAGACAAGAAGGCGGTACAGAGAGTGGTGAGGATGGCAGAAAAGATTATTGGCTGTTCCCTCCCTTCCATCTAGGATATGGCAAATAAGCAATGCTTGAGCAGGGTCCACAGGATTGTCTGGGACACTACACATCCTATTCTCAACCAGTTTTCCTTGTTACCTTCTGGGAGGAGGCTTCGTGGTATTCACGAAGGACAGTGATTAATATTTATATGAATTTATATGTAAGGGTGTAGGTTTATGCATATGTTATATATAGCATGTTTAAATGTGTGTTATGTACATGTACACTTTGAGAGCAAACAACTAAATTTCATTTTTAATGTGTGCCAATGTGCCCACAGTAAAAAATGACAATAAAGGTTATCTATCTATTTCAGACAAATGGTTGTCCAATCTCTTCTTAAAAACCTCCAGTATTGGAGAACTCACAACTTCTGGAGGCAAGTCATTCTACTGATTAATTGTTCCCACCAACAGGAAATTTCTCCTTAGTTCTAGGTTGGTTCTCTCCTTCATTAGTTTTCATCCTTTATTTCTTGTTCTATCTTCAGATTCTTTGGAGATTAGATTGACCCCCTCTTCTTTGTGGCAGGCCCTAGTCCTTCTTTTTATTAAACTAGACATACCAAGTTCTTCATATGTTTTATCCTCCAGTCCCCTAATCATCTTTGTTACTCTGTACTCTTTCTAGAGTCTCAACATCATTGTTATATTGTGGTGACCAAAACAGGATGCAATATTCCAAGAATGGTCTTACATTTGCTAAGTTCTTCTTAGATATATTGATATGGTTGCATAGAGATATTTAATTGGTAATTCAGGAAATACATCTAGAAAGCTTCCTTTCTAAGGATCTGTGGATTGGACGTAAAATCATAGAGATTACCTGCCATGGCTGGACATTTGAGGTCTTCTTTCCAAGTCTCATCATGGCTTGTCTGGTTTTAGATCCATACATTATACGTAAGGCATGTGCCACAACATAAACGCCATTGTAGATATTGTAACTGTCACCTGTCATGCTTGTGTCAAAAATGTATTTTGGCAGTTTCTGTAAATTTTCCTTTCCTGTGCATGTTTTTTTCCCTTTTTGAAAGATTTTGCCTGGTTTGGGCATTGTGCAGCCAAAAGCCTTCTCCCACCATGGACGGAGATAAACATTCCCTTGTGTGTTCAAGGGGTCTAAAGTCAGGAGGAAATGGCTGAATTCCGAAACATCCCCAGTGTGGTCCCTAAAATGCAAGGCCCCATGGAAAGGCTTTCCATTTCTCAATATGTCTTCAGACTTTCTCACATTAAGCTTCCAATGGGAAGTTAAGATCCAAACTTTCAGAAGTGATGTCTTTTTCAATTGTTCATAATTATACTGGGCCACCTGTACATTTGCAATACTAAAGCGGTCTCCAAACACAATAATCACTTCAGCTTTAGAAAAGGTTTTGGAAATTCTATCTGATTTGTACATTTGAATTTGATAATCGGACTGCATCATTTCAGTGAAGGCCAGGCAGATCTCCTTCTCCTTGAGCATTGGCATGAGAGATGAGATGAAATGTTGTCCACTATCATCTTCAGGGGCCATAAGTCCAACCCAGTTCCACTGGAAATACAGGAGCAGCTGGACCAAACCCACATACTGAGGAAATTCGTTGGGATTAATCCGGAAGAAGGAAGGATAAACTATTCTGTCTCCCTGAAGGAACTCAAAGCCAACACCGAGCTGGAAAAAGTGAGAATCCTCTTTAAAAGTTTTATGGTGACTTTAAGTATCCCCACTGTGTGGTTTATACCCCCACCAGTCAAACTGACTCAATTTGAGTAGCAAGTTTCATTTTCGTCCCTTATTAGAAAGAGCCACCAGTTACCTATTTGGCCTGGATGTATGTCAGAAGTTAAGGGAACAAACCATCAGTATGATGGTTTTTTATACAAATTGCACTGAAAGGATGGCCATGCTTTTAGGAAGAATAAGTTCCTAAATTCCTCTTGACAAGTATAGCATTTCAGAATTATCTCATTACCAATCTCTTTGGAGTTATATTAAAACATATCTGACGTATAAAATATAAAAATGAATTCAACTCTAGCATGTATTCTCTAAGTCTCATATTCATGATCTGCCTGTCTTTGCAAATGCAGGCTTTTAGAATTATTACCTGTCTCTTTGGGGTTATATAAAAAAGACTGGCGGCTAAAGCATACAAGGAAAGGCTGATGGAATTGGGTATGTCTAGTTTAATGAAGAGAAGGATGAGGGGGGACATGATAGCAGTGTTCCAATATCTCAGGGGCTGCCACAAAGAAGAGGGAGTCAAGCTATTTTCCAAAGCGCCTAAAGGCAGGACAAGAAGCAATGGATGGAAACTAATCAAGGAGAGAAGCAACCTAGAACTAAGGAGAAACAATTAACCAGTGGAACAACTTGCCTCCAGAAGCGGTGAATGCTCCAACACTGGAAGTTTTTAAGAAGAGACTGGATAGCTATTTGTCTGAAATGGTATAGGGTTTCCTTCCTGAGCAGGGGGTTGGACTAGATGACCTCCAAGGTCCCTTCCAACTTTTTTATATTATTATTATTATTATTATTATTATTATTATTATTATTATTATTATTATTATTATTATTATTATTATTATTATTATTATTATATCTTGAAACATTAAATATATAAATTAAGTCAGCTGTATCATGGATCTTTAAGTCACATACAGTAGAAACCCCTTTGATTTCCTCTTTGGCTTCTGTTTGTGCATCTGTTGTTTGTCTACTCCATGCTGCATCCTATGGAAACTCCTTACCTGTGGGACCTTGAAGATGCTGAGGATGGAGGCCATAAGCTTTGCATATTTGGAGCTGAGATCTCCAGTCACAGAGAGCAGAGTGTCCTGCTTGTCACATTTATAACCTGGAACCATTCGGCCTCTTGTGGAAAGCAAGGAGACGCTGTTTGAGGAAACTGATCTCTCATCCTGGACATTGCTATAGACCTGGAAGCCAAGGGTGATGTTAGGGAGGAGAACAGAATCTTTGTTCACTTCTGTGACTGCAAATGCCAAAGCCATGAAGTGTTGGTAGTTCTTGGGTATAAAACTAGAGTGAAAAAAAAATTCAGAAATGTTGCGAACAATCTTTTATGTCCTGGCAGATTTTGAATTGCCTTATTTTGTGTGTGTGTTTGCTGGGGTTGTGCAGTGAGCCAAAACACACAGTTATAGTTGATTGGTCGAAGACTGTTGCATGAGGCAATCTGCACTGTGATTGGTTGCTGTGGGTATGAAGGGGGAGCTTCTCTGTTTCCCCCACCTTTTTCTTCTTTGTGCACTGTGATTTACCTCATGATTTACTTCAGTTTGCCAGATTATCTAGTTTGCTGTAAATATTGATGTAAAATATATTTATATGAAACTATAAGTACATGTCAGCCTCTATGACTTCATTTGGACAGCTGCTTCACTATTCCCTGACATCACTTAATGTCCCTTTATTGTCCCTCTTTTCTTCACTTCAGCTTCCAGTGGCAAAAATCCTTTCCATTTGGTCCTCTAGCACCCTAATCAATTTGGGTCCTTCCAGTGGTGGGATTCAAATATGTGAACAAACGGTTCTCTGTGTGGATGCTGCTTCTGGAAGTCCATTCTGGGCCTTGGCAACAAAAAATTAGCTACCGGTTCTGCTGAAGTGGTGCGAATTGGCTGAATCCCACCACTGGGTCCTTCTTTGAACAGCTTTTTCAGGTCCGGTTAGCACTGCTTAGCAATAGCAATAGCCCTTAGACTTACATATCGCTTTACAGCCCTCTCTAAGTGGTTTACAGAGTCAGCATATTCCCCCAACAAACCCTCATTTTACTGGCCTTGGAAGGACAGAAGGCTGAGTCAACCTTGAGCTTGTCAGGATCGAACTGATGGCAGTGAACATAGTCAGCCTGAAATTCTGTGTTCTAACCACTGCATCAGCAGAACAAGAGAGTGAGAGCAAGAGATGATAGATAGATAGATAGATAGATAGATAGATAGATAGATAGATAGATAGATAGATAGATAGATAGATAGATAGATAGATAGATAGATAGATAGATAGATGAGTTAGCAATAGCACTTAGACTTATATACCGCTTCACAGTGCTTTACAGACCTTTCTAAGCAGATTACAGAGTCAGCATATTGTCCCCAAGAATCTGGTTCCTCATTTTATTGACCTCAGAAAAATGGAAGGCTGAGTTAACCTTGAGCGGGTGAAAATTGAACTGCCAAAATGCAGGCAGTTGGCAGTCAGCAGAATTAGTCTGTAATCCTGCATTCTAACTATTGCTGCATTCTACACTATTAGCACTAGACTTCCATGGGAATCACAACACTGATTTACAGAAGGCTATTATTCATGAGCACTGATGATTCCAAAATCGAGATTTGTCTTTTCTACAGTACCCCACTTTGGTAAAGGATTGTTTTTTTATGAGTTTTTCTTCATGATTTTTCCATCAAAATTAATATTACTTGTTCACTTCTGCACCAGGTCACCACAATTTCGAATGTGTTGTCTCTTCTCACTTTGTATTTCTATTTTTTGTTATCTTCTTCCTGGTGAAGAGTGCTGGAAGGATTCAGAATTCTAATCTAATTCTTGAACTGGGTTCTTTATTGAGGAAAGTACAAAGTTTTGAACTACACTAGGACGTTGCAGACATCACTACACCAAGTATTTCTGAATGTAGTCCCTGAATAAAGAACAAAGCAAAAAATATATATCTTTCTGTTTGAGGTGAAACTTACTAAAATAGGACAAAATGAAGAAATGGGTGTTGATTAAAGTCTGGTTCCATGGGTAAAATAGTTGCAAGTGGTAAATTCCCACCAATAATAAGATTACCAGGTCTATAATAGCCTTTCTGATTCTGGAAAGGGTTTCTCAACATACATATGGTTTGCATCCTCTTTGCAGAAGTTGGAGGGAGGAACCAAAAGAGCAGCAGCAGCAGGAGAGGCAGCCCAGTTATTCTCATCACTTTCCCTCTTAGATCAGAAATCAAGATTCTGCGGAAGGTGAATTGCAGGTAGCACTTGAAATCTCTGCAGAGCTTCAGCACAAAAAAGACAGGTCATATCACCTGGATGTAAATTTATATGAAACATGTTTCCTCTTGCCTGTATTTGGACTTTGACCAAACAGTAAATTAAGGCCAGCTGAGTCAACAAATCCAGGTGTCAGCTCTTTGCAACACAAGGTAAGGTGACATGTCTCTCCTCCAGTGGGAGATCTCAAAGTGTTTTTTGTAAAGCAGATTTTATCTTGGAATTTTTTTGTGGGTAGAAATCCACAGGGGATACATTAAAAACTACTGTTGATCTGATAATTGCATGGAAAAACATTTGTCGTATCTATTTAGCAATAGTTACTCTTTACACACCAGATGGGGAAAAACATGCTTGTAACTCTTTTTGTTAATCCACAGAGCAGATGGATTTGACAGTCAACTAAGAACTCCCTAGCCAGCAAGCTGGATGGGTAATTCTAGAAGTTGAAGTCCATGTACCTTATAGTTATCAAGGTTGAGAAACAATACTCCAAAAGGTTATTTTCCCCTCTCAAGTCATGTATACTATGTTGAAAAACAAAGGGACTAGGATGAAGTCTTCAACTTTAATGTCTCTCCTTCTAGCTTCAAGTATACAGTTCATTTATTCAACTTGCCAAATGCTTTGCTGAAGTCAAAGTACTCTATATAGTAGATAGTCCTCAAGTTACGACAAATGAGCCCAGAATTTCTGTTGCTAAGTGAAACATTTGTTAAGTGAGTTTTGTCCCATTTTGCAACTTTTCTTGCCATAGTTGTTAAGTGAATCACTGCAGCTGGTAAATGAGTACCAAGGTTGTTAAATTAATCAGGTCTCCCATTGACTTTACTTATTAGATAGTTACAATAGGGGATGACGTGACCCTTGAACCCTGCATAAATATGAGTCAGTTGCAAAGATTTGAATTTTGATCATGTGACCATGGGGATGCTGTGATGGTCATAAATGTGAAAAACAGTCATAACTCACATTTTTCAGTGATGTTGTAACTTTGAACGGACACTAAATGAACTGTTGTAAGTCAAGGACTATCTATATTTCCTTGCATTTCCATGGACAAGTCAAGTGATCATTTTATCCAAAATGAAAAAAAATACTGTATTGAAAATTAATTAATAGAGCAAAACATCGGGGATCTATGGAAATAAAGGTGCTTAAAAATACCAAGAATGAACCCAAACTGACACATTTTAATGAGACTTTTATTTAAAAAAAAATAAAGTGGGAAAATTTCCTGCTGGAAATTATTATCCACAACATTGACATCAAAGTTTATTTCCAAGTTGATCATGGGGCTTCACTGGGAACAATTGGAATTAATGAAAAGTGAAAGAGGGAGGGAGTGATTAACAGATGTTTTCTTCTTAGACATGTAACTTGATTTTAAAATATTTAATGAAAAAGCACTTATCTCACATCACTGTAATTAAGAAATCAAATGAAATACAAAAATGCCCCAAAAGAAGAAAAGTTCCTACTTCCTGCATTAGTTAGAGATTCTTTTTTCTTATGACATTTTCTTATGACATTTTCTTATGACATTTTCTCTACAATTCAGATGGGGGTCTAAGTAGGATAATGTAGCATTTGGGGGGGGGAAATGCAGACCAAAAGACTAGCCCCGGAAACCAAGATGGAGAAGATCTCCACAGCCACAATGGACTTTCCTTTGGTGCTCGGTAAATGGGGCGGAAGGTGATTCAAACACTACAAAAGATCAGCATGCTGAAAGTAATGAATTTGGCTTTATTAAAACTTTCTAGCCAGAAAGGCCAATATGAAACTGACCAGGGCTAGGAAACCCAGGTAAGTGAGAGCAGCATAAATGAATGGAGCTGACACTTCCTTCTATTCTAAGAGAATCTCTCCAAAAAAGGAGTGGAAGTCCAAGTTGGGAAACAGGGGCGGGGGAGAGGTTACCAGCCAGGTGGTACAAAGAAGTGCTTGGACCAGGGGACAGGTTAAGACAATGGAGTTGGTCAGGGGTTTTCCTAAGAATTTTGTTTTCTTGTTCTCAGGTTTGGTGGCCATGAAGGCCAGAACCACAATGACAGCTTTTGCCAAGAAAGAGGAGACCGCAAGAGAAAAGAGAATGATAAAGGCAATACAGGTGAATTTGCCAGCTGGACCAATGAAGAGGAAGGAGGAAAGGAAGCAGAACAGGAGAGAGACTAGGATGATGTTTGTGATTTCATGATTGTTGGCCTTTATGATTGGTGTGTTGTGGTATGTCATGATATTTGTAGAAAATCTCAAGCAGCGCAAATGTGATCACAGACAGAGAAAGAGCTTGGCATAAAGCGTATTCCAGGTTCACTTGATAGGTAAGGATAAATCAAGATAAAATGATAAGATGAAAGTTCTTAGCCATTGCTAAGGATTTCAGGAGCATCTGCCATGAGCATTCTCCTCCCACAGTGGTGACATGACTATCCCATCTCTGCTGTGGCCAGACCACAAATGTGGTGATGGAATGACCCACTGAGCACTTAATGGGGAATCAAAAAGGGCAAATCATCCTTCATTCATGATGACCCTGGAGATAGTTTAGCCTCACACAAGGACCTGAACAGCTCCACCAGACCTGATGAGATTGCAATAGAAGAAAAGGTTCTCTCCAGCCACTGGGCACTTTCGTGACTACTGTGGGTTTCAGTTGAGAGAAATTGCCAGCTGGATTTTCTAGTTTATACTGGAACTTCTAGAAGACTGAAAGAGCTTTAGCAAGAAACCCTGCTCTTTTGTTACCCGTTGGTATATACTGAAAAAAAAAAAGTCACAAGGGAGAAGACCATACAATTGTACAACAGAGTGTTGAAAGAAGGAAAGGATCTTTTCCT